GCAACTGCTTGAAGGGCCAGCTCGCCACCCACCAGAGGGACTCTGGAGGCTCTGACAGCATGGAAGCGGGGATGGTCTGGGAAGACAGGTGAACTTCACAAAGGAAGCTGGCAAACTTCTTCCAGTGTCCACTGATTCTTTCAAGGCAACATCTGGCTACTTTCCACAGGCAACTTGGTCAGAGGGCAGCAGCAGGCTTTCTGGAACTACTACTATGCCCTCTGGGGATGGCCCAGAGGAGAGGTGTCCAATTCTAAATCTCTCTTCCTCCCCAGCTTCTGCACTGGGCCAATACAGTTTGAATTCTTCTTAAGTATCATCCTCAGACAACAGGGGTGGTCAAGTGTTCAGATTACTTTTCTGAAAAGATGCACCATCAAGATTCTTCTCCCGCCGGGCGTTGGTAGCGCACGTCTTTAATCCCAGCACTCGGGAGGCAGAGGCAGGCGGATCTCTGTGAGTTCGAGGCCAGCCTGGTCTATAGAATGAGTTCCAATACAGCCTCCAAAGCCACAGAGAAACCTTGTCTCGAAAAAAAAAAAACCAAAAAAAAAAAAAAAAAGATTCTTCTCCCAGCCAGGCATTGGTGGCGCATGCCTTTAATCCCAGCGGCAGAGGGAAGGCAGAGGCAGGAGGAGCTCTGTGAGTTCGAGACCAGCCTGGTCTACAAGAGCGAGTTCCAGGACAGCCTCCAAAACAATAAAGAGAAACCCTGCCTCAAAAAAACAAAACAAACAAAGATTCTTCTCCCACTCCACCTCCAAGGGTGTGTGTCCCAGGGCTGTCTGGGCATTCCTTCTCCTCCAGCACTCAGACTTTTGTCTTGGTGCTATGCCAAGAATTCATGAACATTTCCCTACTAGATCATAAATCCTGAACTAAGGAAAAGTCAGAACTTGGACCAGATATTTTTTTTTTTTTTTTTTTTTTTTTTGGTTTTTCGAGACAGGGTTTCTCTGTATTGTTTTGGAGGCTGTCCTGGAACTCGCTCTGTAGACCAGGCTGGCCTCAAACTCACAGAGATCCACCTGCCTCTGCCTCCCGAGTGCTGGGATTAAAGGCATGCGCCACCAACCGCCCGGCTGGACCAGATATTTTAAAGCTTTTAATAATTGAATATACGGGGCTGGAGAGATGGTTCAGAGGTTAAGAGCACTAGCTGCTCTTCCAGAGGTCCTAAGTTCAATTCCCAGCAACCACATGGTGGCTCACAACCATCTGTAATGAGATTTGGTGCCTTCTTCTGGCCTGCAGGCATACATGCAAACAGAACACTTTACACATAATAAATAAATCTTAAAAAAAATAATTGAATATACTTCTCCCCTCTCCAATTACACATACATACATGAATCTATTCAGTTTTGTTGGTGGTGTTTGAAGCAGGATGTCACATAGCCTGGCTGGCTTGGATTTAGCTATGTAGGAAAGGCTGGCCTTAAATTCCTTGATACTGCCTGCAACTTCCTGAGAGTACTGGGAATCCTAGCATAAGCCACCATACTCATTCACAACACTGTTTTTCTTTCCTTTTTCGAGACAGGGTTTCTCTTTGTAGCCCTGGCTGTCCTGGAACTCACTCCGTAGCCCAGGCTGGCCTTGAACTCAAGAGATCCGCCTGCCTCTGCCTCCAGAGTGCTGGGGTTAAAGGTGAGCGTCACCACTACCAGGCAACACAACAGCTGTTTAATAATGTAATAAAGAGCATTCCAGAGGGAAAAGTGCTTGCTGCCCAAGCGTAAGAGCCCGAATTAGGATCTCCAGCACTCATGTAAGCGCTGTGTTTGAGGGGCTGGAATGATGATTAAGCAGTGCATAACTGCTCTTGCAGAGGGCCCATGTTTGGTTCCCAGCACCCACCCTGGGCAGCTCCCAAGTGCCTGAAACTCCAACTCCAGAGGAGACAACACTTCTGACTAACTCAGGCACCTATACTCACACACACATGCCCACAGAGACACATGTGTTAATTAAAAGTATCTGAGTTCCGGATTCAGTGAGACTCTGTCAGAAAATAAGGTGGATGGGGTGGGGAACAGCTCACTTGGTTGAATGCTTGCCTAAAGCCCTGGTCCCTGGAAACCTGTAAAACCTGACATACATACATGCAGGAGAATACCTGTACATATATGCAATATTTTGTACATTCCCTCATTTACATATATTACCTATAATAATCTCCCTTTTGTTATAATCACCAGAAGTCAGTCTCATTCCATAGCAGATGAGGAAGCTACCACTCAGGAGATATTAACATCTTAGCTAGGAAAGGGCAGGACAGGGCTGAAATTTGAATTTCTGCTTGCATCCCACGTCCATGCATTTCTGATCTCCCTGCCCCCTCATTGGGAATGGGATCTAGGGTTTCAAACATGATAGGCAAGCAGTCTACCACTGAGCCACACTGCCAGACGCATGCTCAGCTCCTAAGATTGTGGTTCCTATGCTCTTCTCAGAGCAGTTTATTCTCATAACCGCCCCCAAGATCAAAACATCTCTTCATTTACAAATGCTTTGCACTAAGCAAAACTGTCTCATGCATGCACCAACTCCTATGTCACAGACCTCAAAGAGCCTTAGAGTGGAGGGTGTTTGATACTAACTAGCTAGTGGTGGATATGAAAGCATCGTCCCCTTTGAGAGTCATCTGCCAGACTGCCAGCACCGTTAATCTGTTAAATTCAGCCAATTACAAGGCTCTGGGAAGCCAGCCTGGTCTACAAAGTGAGTTTCAGGACAGCCTCCAAAGCTACAGAGAAACCCTGTCTCGAAAAAAAACAAAACAAAAAACAAAAAAAAACAAGGCTCTGGGAAGCCTGGGATGAGATTTAAGGTCCTTAGCAGGCTCTTGAGGAAAAACAGTTTCCTGGCATTGCACAGAAAGGAAAAGGCAACTACTTTCCCTGGGGTGTTCCTTGACTACCTCTAAAGCAAGTGACCTAGCAAGGGTGCCAGAGTCATGTCCCCAAGGGTTATAGTATTCTGTTCCTGTAATAGCATTACCAGTTAATCTATTGCTCCCTTGGTGACACTTTACCAGGTCAACCTCAGTCCTCTTCCTTGTCTTTGGCCTGAGATTGCCAGTCTGTCTTGGGATTTACCACTGGTTGGCAACCTTGGGGAATTACTTTAGGAAAATCAACTAAGAAGGAATTTGTCAATGGTCATCAGCTTAAGAATCTGTTGCTACTAGTATGTAGAGGCTATGTTAGGTACGCTCCTATTACCCTTCGGAACAGAAACACCTAAGACAACCATTGAACAACCTGGCCCCATATACAACACTGAGAAACACAGGAGTAAATGTCAAATGGACTTATGTTGGAAATGCTGGCTTGCTGCATGACCTTGGGCTTGTCACTGAATTCATACTCTCTCCATGAGTCAGCATAGTGAGTTTTACTAACCAGCTATGCTACCTTAGGCAGGATTCCCCACCTCTGTGAGCTTTCTCCTAAAAATGACTTGTTCCAGATGGGAAAGCTAGCTTAATAATTAAGAGTGCGCACTGTTTTTGCTGGACAGTGGCGCATGCTTTTAATCCCAGTGCTTGGGAGTCAGAGTCAGGTGGATCTCTGTAACTTCGAGGCGAGCCTGGTCTACAGAGCTAGTTTCAGGCTAGCCAGGGCTACAGAGTGCATTCCGTTATTGCAGATGTGGGCTCAGGTTCCACTAGCACCCACATCTGCCTGTAGCTCCAATTCTTGGGGACCCAAGAGCTTTTTCTGGCCTCTGGCACATAAACTCATGCCAGTTTTCATATACATGCACACATATATACATGTATATGTGTATGCTTTTGTGTATGTCTGGGGGTGGCAGCAGTTCAATCATTATCTTGCCTGGGGTATCAGTGTCATTTTAGCTAACTGAAGGTGAGGGAAGGCCTAGGCACAGAAAAAGATGCTACAGGAAGCTTACCCCCTCCAAAAGCACCTTCAGCCTTAAGATTATAGACTCTCTAGGAGGAAGCGCTGTTTCTTCTGTTTATTCAAAACCATTTTAAAAGCTGAAACTGATGACAATGAAACTCACAAGTGAAGAGGCTGACCCCAACCTTGCTCTTTTGTGGATTCCCAGAATCAAACTCAGGTCAATAGGCTATTGTAGCAAGAACCTTTACTCAGATGGGTGTGGTGGTATACCCTTTAATTCCAGCACTTGGAAGGCAGAGGCCAGCCTGGTCTACAGAGTGAGTTCCAGAACAGTCAGTGCTACACAGAGAAACTCTGTCTCAAAAATAAATAAAACATTACCTGTAAAAACAATAGGTGGCGGGGGCTGGAGAGATGGCTCAGAGGTTAAGAGCACTGACTGCTCTTCCAGAGGTCTTGAGTTCAATTCCCAGCAACCACATGGTGGCTGACAACCATCTACAATTCAATCTGGTGTATATGTAATAAATAAATAAAATCTTAAAAAAAAAAAAAAGGTGGCAGTTGGACAGGTGGTGGTGCACGCCTTTAATCCCAGCACTTGGGAGGCAGAGGCAGGTGGATCTCTGTGAGTTTGAGACTAGCCTGATCTACAAGAGCTAGTTCCAGGACAGCTTCCAAAGCCACAGAGAAACCCTGTCTCGAAAAACCAAAAAAAAAAAAAAAAAAAAAAGCCAGGTGTTGGTGGCACACACCTTTAATCCTAGCACCTGAAAGGTAGAAGCAAGTGGATCTCTATAATTTCAAAGCTAGCATGGACTACCTAGCATGTTCCAGGTCAGCCAGAACCACACAGCAAGGCCCTGAGGACTTGACAAAATAAAACAAGATCTCCCCCTACCAAAAAGACAAACCAAAACCCAACAAAATGGTACCGTCAATATGCTGAATTTGAAAGGGACCAACCACCATTACCCAGGCTGTTTCATAGCTCTTCTGAGAGACACTGGGACCCTATCATACACTGCCTACTTCCTTGTCACCAAGGTTGACCCAAGTGTCACTTCTCACCATTCCACCAGAGCCTCCTCCAGACCCCAAAGTAGAAAGACGGGCACAGGCATGTGGTTTAGAGAAACATTGTTTAATGGTAAAGCTTAGCACACTCCAGCACCAGGACTGGCATGGAGTCGAAGCAGCAGGGATGGCTGGCTGACCCCACGGAGCCTCACATGGCGAAGAGAATGAGGAAGGCGACCATCAGACAGAAGAGCCCCATGGCTTCAGACAGGGCAAAGCCCAGAATGGCATAGGAGAAGAGCTGTTGCTTGAGAGACGGGTTCCTGTCGGGGATAGGAAAGGGTGAGGGTACAGGGAAGGGGAGGGGAGGCTGCTACTATTCCAAAAGGGCCTGCCCACACCTACCCTGGGGACATGGATAGGAAAGGAGACTAACAGCTTGGCAAGTTCACACGTGGCGGGTGGGACACACACTTTAATTCGGATTTAAGTCATGACAGAAACTGGAGGTAAATAACATCAACTTGAAGGATCCCTTCCTGCTAGGATTCTGCCCTAATGGGGCGGAACCTATGCTGAGATACACAGTGGGCAGCCCCAATCTTACCTGGCATAGCCGATAATCAAGCTACCAAACACTGTTCCAATGCCAGCCCCTGATCCAGCCACGCCAACTGTGGCAGCCCCAGCACCAATAAACTTGGCAGCTGTGTCAATGTCCCGGGAAACAACACTGGTTTGGAATTCCCGTGTGGCCACCTGGAGAGGGGAGCTGCTGCAGGAAGGCTAGAAGAGAGGGAAGAAGGAGGCAGTGAGGTATCCGTCAGGTGGCTGACTCCATTAACCCCACCCACCTGAGCTAAGAAACAGCTGGTGACAGCCTGACCCGGGCAGGACACACTGCTTGCAGGGAGAATGTCAGTTTGCCCTAGGATGTTTTCAGGCAGGGTTAGTCACGCTAGGACTGTCATTTTGAGTCTTGGAATTACGAGCTTCACAGCTTCTCTAATTCTCCTATAAGCAATTTAGTTAACTGGAGGGACCATTGCCTAGGGAGATCCTGAGGGGCCTTACTTCCTTACCTGTTTAGACAGGGCCTCTGGTCTACTAAAGAGGGAGGCAGACACAGGCCTGATTAGACCCCTGGTACAGGAGCGGATCTGTAAAATCAGAAAGATGCAACACTCCAAATCAAGCAAAACAAACAAACAAACAAACAATAATTGACTAGTCTGTCAAAACCTCTCCAATGAATCTCCAGGTCACTTGATTTATTCTTCTTTCTCTCGGGTAGGTTTGCTCCAGACACAGTTAAGTCTGTAGTAGCCAGTAGTGGCAGCCAGCAGCATTTGACATCATATACCAGGCTGGAGAGCACTCACAAGGTTCTGGGCTCATTCTCAGAACCAGACCCAAACCAAACTAGGTATCAAAGCTCAAACATCCAACCAGCTATAGGAAGTGTACTGAGATAACAAGCAAAAGCCACCAAAGGGAGACATTTACTAAAAGGCACTTACAGCAACATAGCCTTCATGCAGTGGGTCAGAAGGTTTGGCTTTGGGAACAGCCATCTTAGGAGAGGCCTCAGTGAAATGGATTTCTTGACATATTATTCAGTGCAATGACTCTCAAATTTGGCAGAACATTGGAATCACCCGGGAGTTCTACAAAATTTGCCTGGGGTTCCACCTCCATTCTTAGTCTGATGCAATTGGTCTAAGGTGCAGTCTGGGCACTGAGAGTGTTAAGCTTTCCAGATAAACTGAACATGCAGGCAAGGTTTAGATAAACTGTCTTCCGGTTGTCTGGCTACATTCAAGCCAGGACTACAATAAAAGGTCATTTCTGGCCTCTCTGAGGACACTCAGAAAGCCACAACAGCTTGGTTTACAGGCCTGCATAAGGGTAGGTTACCTGTACTACATCCTATAGCCTCCCCAAAGAGCCCTGACCATCATGGGGCGCCAGCTCCTTAGTCCATTGATTAAATAAGATCGCGCCCACACCATACACCCCGAACCACAGCTTACCAGAACTGGAGTAACGAGCAGTGCCTTGGTGGTCTGCATTTTTCAATCTGCAAGAAGAGAGGGCAAAACACCCATAATTCCTATGAAAGCATGATTGCTTGCTTATAGTGGCGACCTTCTGTTGTCCCCATCCACCCCCCGCTCGCGCTTCCCGACCCCTCTTTGCTTGTGCCCAGCTAAGGAGGGCATTAGAGGTCAGAAGGACAGCACCGATTCCGGAGTCAACCACTTTCTGCGCAGCGGGTCTGCAGAAGGACAGCAACTGAGATCGGAACTAAAAGGAGGCGTCTCAGGCCCCAAGAGAGAAACGTTGCGAAAAGGCATGGTCTCCCGGGAAGGCTGCAGGCAGAAACTGGCAGACGTCGTGCAGGATCCTGCCCATGTAACATAGCTGTCCCCTACTCTCCCCAGCGGCCGTTTATCGCTCATTACCGTTGGTAATTAACATTAATTGATAAAGCTTAAAGACTTCCGTAGCCTTTCCCGATCCCTGGAGGCAAATGCTGCTCCATGTGGCCCAGCTCGTAGCTTTACGCACCCCTGCCTCCCGGCCCCAAGTCACCTGCACTCCCACTCCCCTGCAGCCCCTGCTCGGCCCACCGCACTCTCGCTGCTCAAGGTGACTGACTCACCTCCCAGCTTTAGCCCTTGGTCTCAGCGCTCCGCTCCCCACCCACGTGTCCCGGAGTCCCTCCACTCCCATTGGCCGTTATCTTCATGCGTTCCAATTGGTTTGCGTCATCAACTCCTTCTTTCTTATTGGTCTTTTTCAGCTTCTTCCTCTCTCTCCACAGGAGCTTCGTGGCAATTCCCGCCTCCTTGCGGATAAAGGCGGGTTCTTTTTCCGAGATCGCGGTTAGGATTGGTCGAACCCCGAAGTGCTCGACCATAGAGTCGACGAGACTTGGAGGTTCTACAACCTTCAACACAAAATGGCGCCCAAGGTGCAAGCGGAAGAAAAAGGCGTGGGAGAGACGACCGGCCGCTTGACGCAGGCGGACACGTGACATGGGCTCGGTGCCTTCATTCGGCTGCTCCGACCTTGGAGCGCCTTGCATGTTGGGATTTGTAGTTCTGTCCGAGAGCCCAACGACCACCGACATCCCGCGAGACGTTGCTTCTTGGCTGGGAAAGCCGACGCCTTTGCAGTTTATTCCACCATAGTGATTTGTAGAAACAATCTCCGTTTCTGCCTGAGAATTAAGGCAGGTTGGAAACTTTCCAAGTGGTGAGCGTGCTCTTGTGAACCTCTGCCAGTGGTCAGCAGACATGGACTAACAAACTGGATGTTAAAAAAAATAACAGTTAAAGCCAGGAGGTTCAAGTTTAGAACAAAACACCAAGGTGGGGGCAGAAAATTACATTGGAGGGGGGTTCTAAAAGAAAACAATACTCGATAGAACGAAGCGAGAAAATAAGTTGGGTGGTACATGCTTGCAATCCCAGACGACAGAAGGTGAAGGCAGCAAGACTACGCACTAGCGCACCAACTCCAGGCCAGTCTGGATAAAGCAGCAAAATCTAGCTAACAAAACCACACAAACGTGCCACAGCATAAAGGGCAGAAACAGAAATATGAGTGCAGTCCCCACACAGCTGGTATGAATTAGAAAACCTTCCTGGAAAGCAGTTTGGCAATATTTTTATTTGAAATGCTATGAATGAGCGAGCCATCCTCTTTGACCCAGTAGTCCTTGAGTAATTGAGAACCTTTAAATGCTGCACCCTTTGACCCAGTGCTGTTGCTTCTAGGAACCTGTACTAAATAAATAATGTTACGAACAGACTCTGATGAAGAAATCTGGCTGTCCTGGAGCTCACTGTGTAGACAAGGGTGGCCTTGAAGTCACAGAGATTCCCCTAGTCTTTGCTTCCCGATTAGTGGGATTAAAGGGGCTGGCTCTTCACCTTGTCCTGTACAAAATCTACTGAATATGAAACGCCACACTAATAGTAAATGGCTTAATAAACCACATATATTTGAAATTTTAAGGTGTGTAGGGTTTTGCCTGCCTGCACCCATGTATGTGTAGCACATAAGGGCTGGTGCCCTTGGAGGCCAAAAGAGGACATTGGATTTCCTGAAACTGGAGTCAGATATATTTGTGAGTCACTACGTGGGTGCTGGGAGTCAGACCCGGGTCCTCTGGAGAGCAGCCAGTACTCTTAACGGATGAACCATCTCTCTAGCCCTAATTTTATTTTATTATTATTATTATTATTATTATTATTATTTTTTTTTTTTTTTTGCTTTTTCGAGACAGGGTTTCTCTGTGTTGCTTTTTGGAGGCTTTCCTGGAACTCGCTCTGTAGACCAGGCTGGCCTCGAACTCACAGAGATTCCCCCTGCCTCTGCCTCCCAAGTGCTGGGATTAAAGGCGTGCGCCACCACCGTCTGGCCCCTAATTTTATTTTTTCGATACTATATTTGTAAGTTTGGGCTTGTGTGTGTTACACTGGCATTGTGGCAGTCAGAACAACTTTCAGTTCACTCCTTCCACCCTTGGTTACAGGGAACAAACTCATGTTGTTCATCTTTCAAGGTAATTGCTTTTACCTCTGACCCATCTTACCAGCCCTAAATAAACCAGCTATGTAGTCCATTTGTAAAATAAGCAGGAGCCAGGAGGTGGTGGCATCTCTGTGAGTTCAAGGCCAGCCTGGTCTATAGTGCTAGTTCCAGGACAGTCAGGACTACAAAGAAAAACCCTGCCTTGAAAAACCAAAATAAATAAAAATAAATAAATAAAATAATGAAATAAGTAGGAGTAGGAGCTGGAGAGACAGTTCAGTGGTTAAGAACACATGCTGCTCTTCCAGAGGACTGGAGTCTGGTTCCCAGCATCCACATCAAGCAGCTCACAGCCCTCTGTAACTCCATTTCCACCGGTAGGAAATTCAAAGCTCACAGCCCTCTGTAACTCCATTTCCACCAGTAGGAAATTCAAAGCTCACAGCCCTCTGTAACTCCATTTCCACCGGTAGGAAATTCAAAGCTCACAGCCCTCTGTAACTCCATTTCCACCGGTAGGAAATTCAAAGCTCACAGCCCTCTGTAACTCCATTTCCACCGGTAGGAAATTCAAAGCCTTTGACCTTTGCAGGTACCCATACTTTGGTACATGTATCCTTGTGCAGATGCACAAACATATACATAATTCAAACAATAAAAGAAATCCTTAAAAGTAAGGAATATACATGAACTAAAATAATGATGTCTTTCTTCTTTCTCTCTCTCTCTTTCTTTCTTTCTAGGGTCTCATGAAGCCTGGGATGTCTTTTAACTTTATATACAGTTCTGGTTGGATGGAAATTCTTAACCCTCTGGCCTCCAACTTCCAAGTTTTGTAATTACAGGCCTGCACCATCATGCCCAATTTAAGAATATTTTCTTGCCAAGTAGTGGTGGCACATACCTTTAATCCTGGAAGGCAGAGGCAGGCGGACCTCTATGAGTTCGAGGCCAGGTTGGTCTACAGAACAAGTCCCAGGACAGCAAAGGCTACATAGAGAAACTCTGTCTTGAAAAACAACAATAGAGACAAAGATTTGGTTTGTAACCCTGGTTAGCTAGGAACTTGCTATGCAGGTCAAGCTGATATTGAAGTTGGAGTAGATCCTACTGCCTCTGCTTTCCAAGGGCTAAGATTACTGATGTGATTCTACTGAGAAAAATTTCAGACCTAGAGAGATGACTCTGGGGTTAAGAGCATTAGAGGACCAAAGTTTGGTTCCCAGCACTCGTGTGGGCTGCTTACAACAGCTTGTAACGACTTCTAGAGGATCTGACACCTTCTTTTGGAAGGTGTATGTGCACTTGCACATAAGCCCCCTGTATATACATGGTTAAAAAGTAAAAGCAGAGCTAGTGAGATTGGTTAGCAGGTAAGGTACTTGCCACGGAGTCTGACAACCTAGGTTCTGTCACCAGGACCCACATGATGGAAGGAGAGAATGGGCTCCACAAGGTGGCCTCTGCTTACGGGCTTGCTCCCCCTGGCTTACAGCTAGTTTATCCCCAGACACATGATGTCAAAACAAGTAAATGGGATAAAAACTCAAAACATGGCTTAGAGAGATAGCTCAGTAGTTAAGAGCACTGGCTGCTCTTCCAGAGAACCCAGGTTCAATTCCCAGCATCCATATGGCAGCTCACAACTGTCTGTAACTCCAGCTCCAGGGAATCTAACACCTTCACACATAATGCACATAAAATAAAGTTAAATAAATTCTCTTTAAAAATTCGAAACAAGCCGGGCGTTGGTGGCGCACGCCTTTAATCCCAGCACTCGGGAGGCAGAGGCAGGTGGAGCTCTGTGAGTTCGAGATCAGCTTGGTCTACAAGAGCTAGTTCCAGGACAACCTCCAAAGCCACAGAGAAACCCTGTCTCAAACCCCCCCCAAAATTCAAAAAAATTGTTTTTTGACACAAGGTCTTTCCATATAGCTCTGACTAGCCTGGAAATCCATACATAGTTTAGGATGGCCTTGAACTTACAGAGGTCTATCTGCCTCTGCCTCCTAGGAACTGGAATTAAAGGTACGGCCACCATGTGTGGCTAAAATTAAATTTAAAAGAAAAAGGAAAAGAAAACAAATGGGCTCATAAAAGACACAGATTCTGTTCCCAATACCCACACAGTTGTCTGTAACTCCAGACTCGGTGACGTGTGACACTTTGTTCTGACTTTCAAGGGTACTGGAATGCATGTGATGTACATACACTCATGAACTAAAACACACGTTAAACAAAAATAGTTTTAAACTGGTAAAATAAAAAATATTTTTTAAAAACAGAAGCGATTCATAATGTAAAAATATGAAAAATGCAAAAAAATGATAAAATGGGCATGTTGGCACCAGCCTGAAATGCAAACTTTTGGGGAGACGGAGATGGGAAAGTCACTGCAAGTTGGAGGCCAGTCTGGCCTACATAGCAAGTTTGAGACCAGCCAGGACTATGTAATGAGACTTTGTTCTGAAAAACACCAAGCAACTAACACAAAACCAGATAGATAGCAGGGACTGGGGAGGGAGTTCAGTCAGGAGAGTGCTTGAAGGCCTGAGTTGGATTTTTAGAACCAGTGGTAGCTTGGCTGGTAATTCCAGTGCTGGGGATTGCCCAAGGGGTGTGGGGGAAGGGCTAGTCTCTGGAGTTCTCTGGCCAGCAGGACCAGACTGCTTGGAAAGTTCCAGGTCTTATCTTTAAAAAAAAAACGTGTAAAGTACATGAGAAAGGATAGACTGTCCTCTGGCCTACACAGACAGACACACGTACATGCACACAGTGCACCCAAACATGTGTAGACACACATAAAAATAAAAATAAATATGGTTAAAAGATCAGAAGAGAGAATGGTTTATTTTATTTTATTTTTTTATATTATATGCAGTAGTGTTTTTGCCTTCGTGTATGTCTGTATGAAGGTATTGGATCCCTTGGAACTGGAGTCAAAGATAATTGTGAGCTGTCCTGTGGGAATTGGGAATGGAACCTGGTTCTCTGGAGGAGCAGCCGGTGCTCTTTTTTTTTTTTTTAATTTTATTTTCCAGTTTAAATTTAGATAGGAATCAAGGTTGCTTCACAAGTCAGTTCCAGGTACCTCTCCCATTCCCTCCCTTCCTCCCGTGCCCCCCCCCCGTTATCCTCTCATTTCTCCAGGGAGGGT